TGTTCCATATTAAAACAAAAACCCGGGGAAGGGAGGCACAGTGGCTCAGAACCCACCTCCGTACATCTCAAGGTGACCTTATGCCCACAGTCAGGGTTTTTTCCTCGTCCTCTTTCCAGAACAGTACTCGGTTGTCCAGAGGTTAAATGATGAACTCAAGTCCCAGGCTTTGCTGGGAACAATGCCTTTTCTTAAGAGCATTGCAAGTTAAAAAAAAAAAAAAAAAAAAAAAAAAGATTTAGCCGCTGTAAGCTGATAATCGAGTAACTGTGGTCAGACACCCATTCCCCAACCTCACTATTCAAGACCATGAGACCATGTTATCTATCACATAACGCCCATTAGGCCCCAGTAATCCGCTATCAACACGTTTTACAGCCATTTGAATGTTAAGGAGATTTTTATTAATGGTTCGTGATCCTAAAATGTGACTAGTGGTTCTGGAAACATTTTAATAACTCTGGGTTTTGATCATCTGGTTGTAATGTACTCTGAGGCTTCTGGAGGTTAAGGTTATGAGATTGGGAAGGTGCCTCAAGGAGGCCGTTAATGGACCCAATACCTGTCTCTAAGTACCTAGCCTCCAGTGTTGACCTGAGGATGTGGGAACAAGGGCTCACAGTCAGTATTTCCCAAGGAGTATTTGTTGGGCCCTTCATGAGCTAGCCAAGGTGGTGGTGGCGCCAGTAACCAGCCACCAAATGCCTGCTGGGAATGGGCACCTTGTTTTTAAGGAAGCCCTGAGGCTGGAAATGGCCCCCAGGGTTATCAAGTAGACTAAGGAACCCTCAATAGGAAAGCCCCTTTCCCATCCTTGCAAATAGGTGAGTTAAGATTGGCACGGGGATTTATTCCATCTGATTCAGGAACATCCCTTTTTCTCCTGGAGCCAACCTGGGTCAATTCAAACCTTACCAGCTTACCATTATGTCTGCTACAGAGATTCTTTTTCATTCGGCTTGTTTATTTGTTTTCTTCAAAACACTGTTTCCACTAAGAACTGGAGGTAAAGGGTGGAGGAGGCTGAGGAATAAAAGTAACTCCTAGACCCCATGTTGCTAGACTTTCGCTCTAGGAGAAAAACAAATTTTGAAGTTCCCTTTCCCTGATGATGGTGGGACCGCCCTGGCACCTACCGTCTGCTTTGACTAAATGGATTGGACCTGGGAGGGCTCCTTTATTTGAATCTGCTTATTGTTTGTTTGTGGTCAACAGCCGGTTGGTTTTTAAACATAAAACATGGTGCTGGCAGGAGGGGAAGTCTGGCTGATTCTCTTTAGCATTTGGTGGCAGGGCTGCTGCAAAGCAGAGGGCCTTTCAAATGCATTGCCCGCCTCCTCCTCTCCAGCCACTTCCCCATGCACAAGTTTCCTACTTCCGTTTCCTTCCAAACGCGGCCATCAGAAAAACTCACCTTTTCCAAATAATGTATACATCCTGCTCGAACTGAGCATAAAACAGTTTTTAAAAACGCAAGTCACATGGCTATTAACAAGCAGTTGGAAAGAGACGCTCCATGCAATTCCACACTATGTGTCTCAAAACACCGGAGTACTACAGCTTCACACGGAATGTCAATTCTGTCTCAGAAAAACCCTATAATCTGTGCAGTTGCAAAGCCAACCCCTCCCCAAAATAATGGGGTAGCTCTCGTTAGGGGTTTTGCTCTCCCCATCGAAGGAGTAGACAGTCTTCGGTCTTTTATAAACGCCCCACCAACCCAAGGACGGAAATGGCATTTCTGGGAGAATCAGGTTTATCAGAGCAACCTGTGCTGACAGGGTGAGGGAGGATCAGAAAGGAAAAACAGGGGTGCTTAGCGCTCTGCTCGCAGATATGAGTATGCAGATGTCGTGACAGGGGCACAAAGGAAAAGGGTTGCTGTCCTTCCTGATGGTGTAAGAGGAAGGTCAAGAATTCAGGCACAGGTCATGGACCAATAGAACCCAGCATCTTCCCATCCTGTTTTCTACTTCTATTTGTATGGGATGAATCGGTTACCTGCCCGGCTTCTTTGTGTGCGTCTTTTGCATGATTAAAACACACCTCTGCATGCAAGAGACTCCACCTAACATCGGGCGTACCTGATTTTGGGTTACAGCGTTGTCTTAATAACAATAGCGAGTTTCTCACCAGGCGTGAGGTTCTGGGCTTCGAACTTGTGTTGTGGTGTTGGCCCGGCTGGCGGCTTTTGATTAAATGGAGACCGGCACTTGTGTGAGGCCTCTGCACTGCAGGTACTGGAATGGGACGATTTGGCAACCTGGCGACTCCCAGGACACCTAAAGGAGCTGCTTCCCCATTCCAGAACTTGCTTCTGACCCTCTGGGCTGCCGCATCGGATCCCAAACCAAAACCAGCCGACGCTCGTAGGGAAACGAAATGGGGGTGGGGGGCGGCAGTAAGGGGATGAGCGAGTTTCTCAAGCTTCCGAGTCAGTACCCGGCTCCCAACTCAGCATATTCACTACCTGGCTGTCCTTGAAAGTCCCCAAGGGCAGGCCCAGCTGGGTGCCCCGGTCTGAGACGCTACAGGAGCCCTCAAGCTGAGTGACCCCTTTCCCCAAGCTTCCGGGAACAGCTGTTCCCTTCCCAAGTCTCCTGCAGCGAAATCCGGATCCCAGGAAAGCCTTCGTCCCCGGTCTCCTCCAGGTCCGCATTAGCAGCGCTAGCCGGATGGACGCCGCTCACCGGCTTCTTGCATGCTTCAGGCGGCTCGCACGGAGGACCCTTGCCTCCCAACTCGCTTTCCAAACCCTGAAGTTGCCTTGATCCCTGAACTCCGCTAGGCCTGAAAGGTCGCAAAGACACCCACTCCCACTCGGGTTCAGTGGCTGCGGGCTTGGCAGGGCGGGGTCATGCACGCCCAGGTCCTGGCTGGGACGCCTCGTGCTCTTCCAGGTCTGGGAACTAGGCTGAAGGGACCTGCTAGTCTCAGGCCAGGTCCTGGACCCTGCGGGAGCCCCACAAGAAATAGGTGCCCAGGAGCTACCGCCTGCGACCTCCGGCCCGACTCAGCTCCCCCGGGCACAGCTGGGACGATTTTCCTAGCAAGCCACAGTTGGCCAACAGATTTAGGAAAAGGAGCCCTGGGCACCAGGCTGTTTGTCGAAGTGGCGCCCGGCCTCCGCAGCTGTTCTTCCCGGATATTTGAGTGGAGGGGTGGATGGGTAGGGACACACACAGACACAGAAGAGGTGAGATTAGAAGGAACCAGGAGGAGTGGAGGAAACTGACCATTTTCTAAACCTGAAGGTTTCGAAAGCCGGAACTTGATTGGCTTGATTGAATTTCTCTTCTTATCTATGAAGGGAACTCCCAAGGTGAAATCCAAAGAGCCAGGCATCTTTGTAGAAACGATAAAGGTTTGGTGCAACAGATCTTTGTAAAGCCAGACGGTCCCTACATCTCACCTCTGCCTTCCCAAATGTAGATTTTATTACCGGCTCGCTTCCGGTTTAGCGACTCACAGTCGTTTCAGTACCAAATATCAACCAGTATGGGACTTATTAACTTCATTAAATCCAGTTTTGATTAGGAGTGGCGATCAGAACTCAGATGTCTTTAAGCCAATGCTAGCTTCCCACCCCCTCCCCTTCGCCTTTGATCGTGGGAAATCCTTTCTACTTTGGGCGTCCATTCAGAGCAATTGAACTGTGTGGTCTCAGTTAAACGAAGTTGTGCAAAAGTGACGATAAAAATGGTTTGCGAGTCCTCCTTTAACTTCGTTTTCAGACCCTGAAGAAACCGAGTCTTTTGCTGAATAATCCTAAACTTGCCAAATACTCCTGTTTTTAAGTAACTTGCCCTGTCCTTGCTTAGGTTTCCTGAAAACCAAAGGCAATGTGAGAAATTGATTATTTAGGAGTTACTTTACTACTGCACGAAAAGACGTACAGGATTTAAAAAAAAAAAAAAATTAGACCGGAGGAAAAGTAAAGACCCTGGGGCCCCACTGTCCTTTCGGGGAAGACTACAGAAGACGAATTATCTCCTGATCCAGGAGGATCTAGCCATTCAGCTCTGCAGTTGGTGATGGCTGTAAAGTATTGAGTTTTATTTAGCAATAAAACAATTTTACCCATTAGGCCAAGATTAGATGGGGTTCAAGAGCACAGGCAGAGATAAGAAATTAAGTAGCCAGAAAACGAAACGGTTGCAACTGCTAACCTTCATTTACAGTGTTACAATCAAGAGTCATTGAATTTGGTCAAATTTAAGAACATAAGTTTAAGATGAAATTGAATAGTTTTTTTTTTTAACCCAAGGAGCACCAATCAGTGGCCATTTACCTTTTCTAGTAACTCCTACAACCAAAAAAGGGACTCTTCCCTTTCCCCAGCACACACACACACACACACACACACACACACACACACACACACACACATCACAGACCAGGATGCCTTATGTTCAATACTGAAATTATAGGTTTTTAAAGTTTTCTGAAACTCTTTTGTTCAGAGATCATTTCTGCCTGAATTGCTTTCAGATTCTGATTACACTCCCTCCCTCTCATGTTTACCTCAGCTTTTTTTTTAAGTAAAGAAAAAAATGCCCTTAGAGAACTGAAACAAGAAATTCTCTCCATTCTCACTTTCTGAAATACTCCAGTTTTCCCCTAACATGCATGCATACACACACACACACACACACACACACACACACACACACACACACCCCTGATCTATCTAAAAAACCATGCTAACAAAGTGCCTAACAAGGGATTCGAGCTTGTGCAGGGGAGGAAAGGGTGCTAATGGCTGACTGGGGGATGTGACTTCAATTTGGAGCAATCCTGAGGGAAGTCGCCGAAGTTTCCACGTCACTGTCATTCATAACTTGTTCATTCATTTCCATTAGCAAAAGGAAAAAGGAAAGACATAAGGAGCAAAAATCACTAATTGCTTCTCTGCCTTACAATAAACATTTTGGCAAGGTAAAGATGGATATAGGCTTTCCATTCATAAGTAATGGTATAAAATTAAACTAGACCCAGTGTTGTGCTAGAACCATTTTAATATAATTATACATATCTGCCAAATCCAGGAAGAAAGGGTTTATGCATATATAACTTCCAGTTAACATCTGCAAGCATAAATGATCTCAGTTTAAAATTCATCAGGGTCAGAGCAATTCATCAATGTCTTTTTACTGCCAGGCTTACCAACATAAAATTACGGATGAATCAGGGTCCTTTTGCTTCTCCTCGATCCTTGCCAGAGACAGCAGGGCAGCTCACCTCCAGCCACAGGTAATCTTTCTAGATCAGTATTCAGTTGCTCTGAATTTTGCTTATAATTATAACCTATTTAATCACAGAAGAACCCCTGCATAGGTGGAGTTCAAGGTTGCATACAATAACAGGAGATCACAGTTTTGAAGTCTAGCACAGATTAAAAACCACAGATGTACCATTTATATAAGACACACACTGATTGTCTCTTAAACTACATATTGACTCCTTATGAACATTATTTTTTTTTAAATAAAGTAGTGCATCTAGGACAATCAGTCGCACAATTCACACAGCCCTGAAAAGTTTTTCAGTGCCAACTACCAGTTGGTCATGAAACGTGAATGAGCTTGGAACACTGTCCATTCCTAAGATTCAACCAAGGATTGGCTAAAACACCGGGTTACCTCTGCTTTGAAGGGTATGACCTTCCCTCCCTTCCCTCACAACTTGGTTTTGTTTGATTTTTATTTTGCGTGGTGTTTGGTTGCATGTGACTAGAATATATTTGATCAATCATTTGCAAATCAGAAAACCAATGATCTAGAACTATGACAGAATCTTAAGATTGGTTTGTCCATTTCAGGTTGCTGGTTGATATAGGCCCCTCTAAGGCCCTTCATTTTCCTTCTATGCCTCTCTGGAACTTTGATCAGGAGTCTGAGCATCATCCCATCTAACTCTTTTAACCAATGCCTGGCTAAAACTGGAATGTCCAGCCCAGCATATTTAAAAATCACCCACAAAAATAGGTTCTACAGGTCTTCACAAAACCTGGAATTTCCATGAGGATGTCTGATCTTTATAATCCAAGCAGTCAGCATTGAAGTTAAGCTTCCAAGAGGCAGTTTGGTCCTTATAATCCAAGCAATCAGTGGTTGAGTTAAAACCCAAGCTTGAAGCTCCATATCCCTGGGTGGAAAGAGAAGCTGGGGACTGATTGAGATGGCTGGTAACTGCATTGGTACCCATGGGACTGAGTGTGGCCCCTGGTCCAGGAAGCTGGTGATGCATAGGGGTCAGATAAGATCCACAGTCCATGCCCCCAAAGTAGGAAGTTGAGCCAGCATATCCTTGACTATAACCTGAAGCCTGAGTATAGGTCATAGGATAGGACCTCTGCATGCAGGAGGAGGAGGTGGACAAGGGGTCTGACAGAGGGGAGATGGAAGCTGGGCTCCAGATAGACACGGGAGCACTGCTGCTCGCAATGGTGGGGACTGAGGTACTAGAGGGGGGAGTGAACTGGCCACTTGTCCCACTCTCTGAACTCACTTCCCGAGCTGGAGAGGTCTTCTTCTTGGCAGGTCTCACTTTATTTTGACCTCCATTCTGTTGTTGCTGCTGTTGTTGGCGGCACTTAGCTCTTCGGTTTTTAAACCACACCTTGAAAGGAAAGAAACTTCTTTTAACATGATCGTAATAACTCCATCAGGGCTAGAGTGGTCACAGATTGCATGGCCAAATGATCAGACAGTTTCCTTTGCGGCTAGAGACAACTCACAGGGCCCTTCCACCTCCATCTTCCCAATTGGGAAAGTCCATCTTACACACAAATTCATAACAAGAAAAATTCACTCTCATTATAAACTAAAACTTCTCTACCTTGCTTTCCTGTTTTATCTCCTCTACACATAGAGAGAGACCTCCTTGTATTTGGGAATGACCTCAAAACAGACCCTATCTATGTTGTTTAGAAGGAAGCATTCTGTTGCTGCGTACCACCAAGGGTAGACTGAGTTCAAACAGTGTATGCTGCACTGTCCAGGAAGCAACAGCTATATGGAGGCTGGTTCCACGACCTAACATTTTGTCTCTCCTAGACTCATGAAAGAAATCTCCAAGAAGACAAGCTCCTGTGGAGAGGAGATCTGAGCCAGTGTCTGCTGAAAGACGCTTTGTAGTGAATGAAATGACTTGTGTGGCTTCTGCTTTGAGCTCAAAGACAGACCTCAATACGAGTCTTGAAGACTCAAGTTTGTGCCTTCAGATTCATGCACAGCATACTCTATTCGCTACACTGATTCACTGGTTTGTTAACTTAAAACTCTGCCTGCCACTCTGAAAATTCTCTTTGTACATCTTCTGCAATGCAGAGACTTATGTAGAAACTACTGGCATTTGTCTTAGCTACAAGTCCTTGGGGGCAGAGGAGAGGGGTTAAACAGGGTCTCTTCATAGAGCTGACTGTCCTGGAACTTGCCTGGAACTCAAAGAAATCCGCCTGCCTCTGTCTCCCTGGTGCCAAGGTTAAAAGTGTGTGACACTGGTTACAGGTCTTGATTGCTCTGAAGGTGTTCTCATTTGGGTGTTGTAACTGTAGTGTCCCTGAGGCCAAACTCAGCATCTCTAAACACCCGAGCCAGTTTGTTTCCATTGAGGGCTTTGGGTCAAGAATTACAAGCGCTACATTTTTTTCCAACCCACTTTGAAAAATCCTGTTTTCTGCTTTATAGTTCACAGTGACGTCTGGTACTTCCAAAACCACATTCTACCCAAAGGAAGAGTGTCCGTGTCGTGTGTGTGTGTGTGTGTGTGTGTGTGTGTGTGTGTGTGTGTGTGTAGATGAGGTGCCAGACGCCAAAGAGCTCCACAGGGGGCCTTGCTCTCCAGTCAAAAGGGAGTTGATTCCCTCCTTTTCAGGGTAAAATGTGGAGGAAACTAGAGCAAGAAAGGGAATTGTCTTTACAGATGTTATGAATATAAAATTTTGTCAGTTAAATGACAGAGCTAGAAAACTGTGTTCTGTCCTCAATAAGCCAACCCCACACGTATTTATTGTGTCAACTTATTTGGTGAAAGCACCATTTCTGACTCTGTCACCAAAGCAGGTATGGCCCTGAGAAAGTCATTTGCTCCATTTCTTCATGTGCTTAAAAAAAAAAAAAAAAAAAAAAAAAAAAAATTTTTGGACTGTCTGGGAACTAGACTCCATGCCCCTGTTTCCCACACACCAAGTTCGCCAAGAGGATGCTCACACAAGGTCCACGTGACTATCCTTGAAATTTGCCCTGCACTGGCTCTCCAACTGCAGGGACTCTGAGACCCAAGGGCTCTAGGACTTTGTGTGTGGAGCCCCACTGCTACTCTAACCTTGCAACCAGGCCGGAAGACCCTGGTTCATGGGGTTAAGTAGGGACAGAGAGGAAAATGCAGAATGGTTCGCAGACTCCTGAATAGTTAGCATTTCAAGCCCTTCTTTGATTCAAGACAGGAGTCGGTATACATCAAACTTGAGAGAGGGCAGGGTTAAGAAAAACAGCGAGTCTACATCTGCCCTACCTGGACCCTGGACTCGGGCAAGTTGATTTTCAGCGCCACCTCCTCCCGCATGAAGATGTCTGGGTACCGGGTCTTGGCAAACAGAGCTTCCAAAACGTCCAGTTGTGCCCTGGTGAACGTAGTCCTTTCCCGCCGCTGTTTCCGGGGGGTGGCTGCAGGACAAGAAGCCCAGGGCCCTTTAGGGTGGGGGAGCAGTTTCTCAGTCACAGGACTTTTTTCCTCGGTCCACAACTCCCCCACCTCCCACCTCTCACCGTGTTCCTATACCAAGGAATTCCACCCCCTCCAGAACCTCCAGCACACACCACCTCCCAGTGCAGTGTCTCACCCCCCCGCCCCTCCCTCCGCAGACTAGAGAGCATCCCTTGGAGCGCTAGCTAACAAAATAAACCGAGTAAAGACAATTCCCACCCCCACGCCCAATTCTGGAAACAAACAAACAAGAAACAACCGCTAGACCACACTATCAACAGAAAAGGCTGGCTAGTGGAGTTAAAGGCTCTACGGTGACCAAGGGCTCGTAATGACGCCGCGAACGTGGAGCCAGTTCCCACGGTATTTTAGCACCGCAAGGATCTTTGTTCTTGCATCTTTAAAATGTGACAATAGTTCAGACTTTTATGAGTATTTGGTGAGGGGGAAATATTGCGTGGGGCGGGGGGGTGGGGTGGGGGGAGGAGAAAGTGCCTAGCACCTGGAGGGAAGTCACACCTCGAAGGATTAAAGGGACAGGGCCTGCAGGTACCGGAAGCCCCTGGCAAGGCTGGGAGAACTATAGGGAACAGTAGAGGAGAAAATCCGGTTACTTCCAGGGTGGTACTAACTAGGAATTGGGCGTGGAGACTAAGCTAGAGCATGCTCAAGTGACAAGGTCAACAACCTTCCACGACCCTGCCCAATGAGTGTCCCCAAGCACCCGATTTAAGAGTGGAGCGGTGTGATTTTTCTGTGACTGCTGCGGACCCCAGACGCGTCTCTTCCCAACCTGTTGTTCCCTCCTGGGTCAGTTATTGCCCAGTGGCTCTCGGCTGTGTCGTGACAAGGAAAACATAGTGGGGACCCCGTCTGGAGCTTGAGTGAGGGCAGTGAGCCCTCCAAACCTCCAACCTCCTGAGGGGCGAGCGTGGGGAATGGCGTCGAGAATGCCGCGGGAGTCACTTACCCGGGTAGCCCACGGAGGGATGCAGCAAGTCCATACCCGAAGTGGTCAAACTCAGCCCATTGACTGCGTAAGGCGGTTGCTTTAGATAAGACATCATGCTAAGGTTGTTTGGAGGCGCAAAGTCGGCCCAAATTGGGGGGACCCAGCCGGACGGTCTCGAATCTCCTGGAGTGGACAGGGTCAGGGTCCTTGGTGGGTGGGTTTGGAGTGATGGAACTAAGGGCAAAGCAAACAAACAAGCAGAGGTGCTGGTTTACTGCTTCTGCGGGAGCAGCTTCCTCCACGCTCCATCACTAACTAAAAAGAACCAGGGCGACGCTAGACACAGGCTTTTAAAGGAGTTACAGATGCGCCCCCCGCCGTCCCCCCAACCCCCAGCAGCTCCAAAACTAGAGGGGATGGAACGAGACCAGATAAACCTGTCTTCCCCACCCCCACCCTAAACTTTAAAAAAAAAAAAAAAAAGACCCGAGGAAAGCAATTACAATCCGCCTTCCCCAAGAACAAAACCCCACGCCTCCAAATGCACACATTACATTCCTATCCCAACATTTGCATAGGACTCATTGGCTGGCACTAGCTAATTGTCTCAAACAAAACTTGATTGGGGCCATTTGCAGAGACAAAGAACTCTTTGGCTAAATAAATAATGCTGATAACAAAGCCCATTGGTGAGAAACAAAGAAACAATTCAAGAAATCTACCTCTTCCCAGACTGTTGCCTTCCCCTGGCAGAGATTTTAATTATTTTAGCTTTTTTTTTTATTACCACTTTCAACTGCTGTGCACCTAAACTGTAAATGCATTTAACATTTAAAATACCAACTTGTGGAAGAACAAACTTGAGAAAACCGCCCAACTACTATTATTCCACATTTGAAGTCATTTCCAGTAATCATTGTCACCTAATTAGTAGTCTGGATAATTAGATTTCGAGGTAAGTAACAGATTTATTAGGGTTTTGTAGGACCTTGATTATATGTGTCTAAAGAACTACAGCTAAACAAACAAGTATTTAACTTTTAAGCGACACCCATCAAATATTTAATTTAAACATACTGAAAAAAAAAAAAGGTCTTTAAGATTAGCACAGGGCTTGCCAGAAATGTTGAAGTAAAGTTAGAATCCCACCAATCAGAAAAACGGCAGGCCCCCACATTTTGCAAGTGGGCAGGGGTGCATTCCTAGAGCAAGCTGCTTCCATGTTGATTTTGATGAGGAGGCTGCAGATCCTGGGGGAAGCAGAGTTTTGGGGATTTAGGGTTCTCAGAGGCTTCATCAGATTGCTGCTAACTGGAACTGCCTTTTCTACTATTTTAGGTTGGAAGTAGATAAACATTCAAAGCTATGAAACTGGTAGGATTTCTCTCTACCTTCCAAATTTCCTATAATTACATAAGCAAAAGAAATTGGGGGAAGGAAAAGGAAAAGTTGTTTATGTTCCTTTGCTGGGTCCCCGCCTCCAGAGCTGTGTTAACATAGGCAGGCAGCATTCAAGGCTGGCTTTTATTTTTCTAAAATTTGGCATCTGTCTTGCCAAGATCTCTGCCTGGAAACTTTGACACTCTTAGAAACTTCCTCAAAATGGCGGATACAAGACTGTGAGTTTTCTTTCAACTTCACAATGAAATTTTATTAGTGAAATTAAGGACTGTAGATTTTCATATCTACCTTGCTTAAAAGACCAAGGCAAAAGTTTCTCAAATAGAACTCAACAACGGTGACTTCTTCCTTTTTTAAATTTAGAGCACAGGTCATGTTTTCCCACCCTAAGATGTGATTTTTTTAAATGTCCCTTTTAAAGAACTGGATTATTAACTAGTAAAACTAATTGCTCTCACAAAGAACACTTTACGTCCTGAAGTTCTCCTCCCAAGATTCAGCTATTTGGGGCTGTGAAAGTAACACTGTTTAAAAAACACAGTCATTGCTTATTTAGACAGCCTCTAAAGTGGAGTTCTTTGAAAATATATTCTTACCCCCTTGAAAAGTCCTGAAGTGTTATACAGGAACCTAAAATCATATCTGACGTTAAGATGGGGAAATGTATTTACTAGTCTCGCTTTCACCCAGTTAGAAATGCCTAAGCCCAGGTCATTTGATAAACGCAGCATGTTCCACCATAAAGAGCAGTAATAGAAAATATGGGGCAAGATCCTTCTTGGAGAGCCAAATGGCTCAAAATCTCAGGGTAACCTATTTTCTCTTTTCCTCCTGGGAAAAAAAGAGAGAAAAATCCAAAACCCAAACCACGGGGACCTCTCCACTGCCAGCCCGGATAATAAATACGGCCGGAAGAAGACAGCTGAGGGCCCTTCCAGCTAACTTTCACAGCCGGGTAAGGATTCCACCCATCTTCCTCTCCAGTGCAAAGGGGGTGTGGGGCTGGGGACGCCCTTTCGAAGACTTAAGGCTTTATGTGACCGCGAGGCGAGGTGGCTTCTGAGAGCTCATACCTAGGAGGAAACGGCGGTAGCGTGGCGAGTCCCGAGTGCCCTCACTTCCAGGTGCAAGCGACTAGGTCCGGCGTCCCTGCCCTGCAGCCCCGCAGATCAGCAGCCCTGACGCCCAAGGTCCCTCTCCACTGCCTGCGCCGGCCTGCGCAGCCTTATATCTAACGGTCAATTCGTGCAATCTGTCGCTTCCCCCCTCCAAACCCCCCTCCTTGTTTTTTTTTTTCCTTCCAAGAAGCCCATCTACCAGTTGCTGTGTCCTCGCTCAATAATAATTACCTCGTCCGAGAATTAATTATAATAAATGTTTTCTTGATAAACTAACGAGATAATCCGAGGGGCACACGTCCCTTAATTACAGGCCGTCGTGCTCAGCTCTGCTTCTCGTCCTGGCTGATTAATTTTCTGCATGATGGCGAGGAAACAAAACTACGTGGACTGGCGACTGGCCTGAGGCAGGGAAGAGGACCGAGAGCCAGAGGGAAGAAAGAAAGAAAAGAGGTACTCGCGCACTTGGAAAACAGCCGGCGCCGGCCTCTGCCCCGCTAACTCGAGTGAAAGTTTCTGGCCTCGGGGAATCATCAACTCCACCACCCGCGAGGGAGTGAGAAAGAAATGTGCCAAAAGGGTTGGTCTTGACTATTAATTATAGTTCGGAGAAGCCCCGATGCTAGGTCGGGAAGGAGAGGCCTGGATGTCTACCTTACTTGAGGGGAGGAGTTTGCTCAACTCCACTCTTGTGCTAGTAACTTTCGGTAACCGGAAAAAAGTCCCGAGGTGAGCTGGCCCCCCAAAGCTCAGGGATGGAGGACACAGTTTCAAGGGAAGAGCAACTCCTCTCCCGGTCCCCTCCCCAAGTGGTGTACCACCGCAGGTCCATGCGGCTGGGCCTTCTCTCTCCGCACACCGGAGCTCTGTAAAGGACGAATTTGGATCGGGGCTCTAGGGTTTCCAGAAAAAACGTGCCGTGAAATCGGACACTGGTTTTTCAATAGTCACTTGAACGTATCAACATCGCCACTTCTTCGGAGTTTGCCGCGCGACCCGTCGTCTCCCAGGCCGGGCGTTAGTAGCGGGGACCCTCTGATGGTTCATCTTAGGCAGGCCGAGAGTAGAGGCCGTCCTTGACCCACGACACAGCATTGTCGCCGAGCCTGAGAAGGCAGTTCAGGAGCGCGCAGCGGCCCACGATGCTACCCCAGACCCAGAACGACGGAGGAGTCCGAGTCCCAGAGGAGGGATTCCGGGCTCGCAGACCGGGAGCAGCCAGGCGCTCACCCCCCCACTTTTGACCGCCCCAGGTGCGCGCGGAGGCTGTGGCGCGCGCGTGCCCTGAACCACCCCGGGGAAAGGCGCATTTAAAACCCTGTCTAACTAGCGGCCTCGGCCTGGTGATCTGTCCCGGGGACCACGACCACCGTGAGCAGTGCCGGGGCTGGGGAAGCTGCACCCCTAGGGATCCGGAAGACCTGATGTAAAGGATTGAAGAGCCCTAGAAGCTTGGAGAAGAGGCGGAGGGTAGAACTGCTCCAGGCTAGGGGACAGAGGACGAAAAAAACAGAGACCAGGCAGCGCGCGAGTATCCAGACGCCCGCGCTCCCGCCTCCTCGGTTATCCGCTCGGATGTCGGCTCCGGTTGCAGACTAGGGGCTCGAGAGGCAGACCGCGCGGTCCGGGCCGACCGACCGAGGAGCCAGGCTTCCGGCGCACCGGCCTTCGGAAGCGCCCACCTTATTATCATTGTTTGAATTTACCAACCTAGGTACGTGCACAAGCATCTTTTTGCCAGACTCTAAAATCGTCCTTGGGATCAAGCCTAAGGACTCCAGCTAAACCTAGGGGGCCAAAATACAAAGCTCGCGAGGAGAAGCCATGAATCGCGTGGGCATAAGAACAAAACCCCTCCCCAAACCCCCAGATTAGACTCGTAGGATTTCCACGACGTTCCGCCGCAGCGGCGACCCCCAAGAGCACGCGCTCTCGCTCCCTCCCACTCCCGCCCTCTTCTACAGATCGTCAAATTTTCCTAATGGTCATTACTTCGCCTCAAAATTTTCACTAGAAAAAAAAAATACATCAGCCCCAGAGGAACGTCCACGGCCACAGAGTTGCATGAGGACGTCTATTGGAGACGCGGGGGTCACTGCAGACTGGGGAACACAAAGATATCGCCATAGACAAGACAGACGGACACTTACCTTACAGCCGCATTGGAAGTTAGAAAAGGAAGGGAAAAAAAATCAAATTATCCTTCAAAATGTCCAATAGCCAGCTATCCTAAAAGAAATCAAGAGGATTCAGTTAAAAACCTTGTAGTCTTCACCCTTCCATAAAAAGTCAAACATAAGCAAAAAAAAAAAAATCTTTTTTAGAGAACAGAAAATGCAGTGGCCGGAGTTGTAAACAAGCGTGTGTCCGTCTACGATACATACAAAGTAGATGTGGCGACCGAGCTGCTCTAGCGATTTTTATTTTTAATAACAGTGGAGGCTGAGTTGGAGCTGAGGAAGGTTCCGCTCTCAGGGAGATTTGCTGAGAAAGCGCCTCTCTGGCAACTTTTTGACGCAAACTCTCCAACCAATGGCAGGGAGAGAATGATTGACACATCTAAGCCAGAGGGAAAATAATAAAAACACACAACAGGGGGAGGAAAACAGGCCGCTGCTGCACGGGGGGAAGAGCAGGCAACAAATCCAGACCTCCGACACTACCAGAATGTTCTTAAAAACACTGGGCTGCGCTTAAAATATACATTATGGGCCGGAGCATGTGAACTAATTGTATAATTAAAATGATGGACAGGAAGGCCTCCCCCTTCGGTCTTTTCTTCTTCCTTTACACCCCTTTCTTAGCCTCTCCTTTTTTGTTTTTATTTTAGGGGAAGGACACCAAAACAACGTAAGACAGGAAAATGAAAATATTTAAATCAAAGCTGGAGAAGGGTGGGAAGGGTGATAGCTGGTTTTTTATTTCAACACTAGCAAAGAATGTGGGGCAGAGTCAGAGGCAGAACTCAAACCCAGGTTCACGCTTAAAAACACAACTATGTCCCCTTAAACAGGGCCAGACGGCGCTGAGAGAAAAGACCGGGAACGAAGGGAGCCGGGACTGAGGTGTGGACGTGCAGTAAAGACAGAGATAACAGCCACAAGGCTGTGAACTAATTATTTGAAAACCTCAGCGTCCTCGCTGTTCTTCAACCGCTTAACAAATAACTCCTGGTCTCAGGGCTCTGGGTTTCCGCTCAAGATTTGTCAATTTGAGAAGCCCAGGGCAAGATAGAAAAAAACAAAACAAAACAACAACAACAAAATCTGCGGACTCCCAAATCTACCCCCGGGCTGGTTGTGGGCCAAGGAGGGGCTGTCTCAAATCTCTCGGGCGTGAGTGTAGGGTGGCAAAAGTCCCCCGTGGAAACAGTTTCTGCTTAAGAACGAATTCCTGGTGCTGCAGGCCCTGGAGCTAACAGGGATGGAGCCGCCCAAGCCTGAGGCTGAAACCCGGGAGCTGGGATGCATCAGGACCAAGAAACCAGCTCAACTTGTCAGGTCCAGATCGAGGACCCGGCAGCTTTCATTAGGATCTGAGTTTTCTGGAAGAGCAGAAAGAGATTGGACGGAGTGTTAGGGGATGGGGGGCAAATGCAACTGCCGAGTGTGTGTGAATGGAGGGTAAGCGTGGGAGTGGCGGGAGCGGACAGCTTTTCCCTCACAACTCCCAACGCCGAAGGGGGGGAAAAAACCAACAACAACCAAAACACCCACCACCCCCTTACTACCTCAATCACCGCCGACACCACTGCTAGTGGGCCCAAAGAAACAGCTCGTTGCCTTTAATTTGGGGACCTATGTTAATGAAGTCGGTAATTAATTCATCGCTTTGTTGTCGGTTCTTATACTGTATGTGTAATCAAATGTGGCCGTCCTTGGGATTTACAGCAATTAGCGAATTACGGGAGTGCGCACGAGGCTGCAAGCTCTCGGCAGCCCGGCTAGGCTCGACTCCGGCTCGGCCTAGGGCTGGTCACTCCGCGGCCGCAGCAGACTAGCAGGTGTGTCCTAAGAGCTTTGGGTCCCGGCGGCTCCACGAACCCCGAGCGCCCCCGGGCCCGGGTCAGCTCTTCCTGGCTCCTCCGTAGCAGCTACCGTGCGAAGGAAAACTCCTGGCTGTCGCGTACCCTGGACCCACGACTTTGTGGGGGCCTAGGCTGGGGGTGGGGGTGGGGGGAGGGAAGTGCGGACCTTTCCCTGATACCCTGCCCCCACTGTGCTGAAACACCTGGCGACTGTCCCTAAGGCCTTTCATTTAGGAGGGGGACTGTCCCAGGCGGGTGTCCCGCGTGGCGCGGGCTGTGGGAAGGCAGGTCCTGGCTCTCGGTGCCAGCCACCGTGCTTTGGAGGACGGAAGGGCAAGTTCACGCGAATGTCTTGGAGAAGAGTTTATTTCCCACCCTGAGAAAAGAGTTCTTCCCAGTTTGATCAAAAAGATGTTGAAAACATCAAAGGGCGAAAAAGAAAAAAAAAAAAAAAGAACCTTGTGGATGTGGCGGAGCCAGGCCTCGGGGACAGTGGAGGTGGGGTGCAGTAAAGAAAGAGAGGAGGGCTTGTGAGTCTCTCCAAGTAAGTGAAAAAAAAAAAAAAATCGGAGAGAGAGATCCGTCTGCAGTAGGGTCCAGAGACTGGGAACACCTCAAGTTCCAAGGAAAGGTTTGGGCTGTCGTCGGAGACGACCCAAAGCAGCCGAACCTCCCTGAAAAATTCCGGAGTGCTGTCACAGCGGAGGATTTGGGCTGGGTGCAGCGTGGGAGGGCTTTCGCCTTCAGCGGCTGGCAGAACACAGCGCTTTTCCCTTGCCCTCTTGTCTAATAACTTCGCAGAAATACAGGGCCAATAAACCACCAGTTGGAAATGGACAGTGTTAAATAAACAAGGGTCTCTTTAAAATTCTCATCCACTTCAGATGTCTAAAGTAAGATTGTGATGATTTTGTCACGGTTTGGTAAATTTACCCCTTTAAGAGGCTTTCATAAATCCCAGAACACACCTTCAGCCAGATTTGAATATAGATTTAGGTTTTAAAACCCCGAAGCTGGAAACACCGCTTTATCAAAGAGAATTTCCCTTTAGCTTAGCAATGTGCTGCAGCTCTCAAAAGATTGGATCTGAAAGAGAGAGAGAGACAGAGGAGAAAGGGAGCCAGAGCCAGAGATGTAGACAAGGGAGGGAAAGGAAAAAAGACTTTTCTTTTTTCTTTCTAGAGGAATTCTGCCCAGACTCTCCAGCAGTTGGTAGCAGGCAAGCTTTCTCCTGTGTCGCCTGGAAAAGTTGCAAAATTGCTCTTCACCTGTAAGAACATGCTTTTTATCTTCCAGTCTCTTCTTGTCAGTTTGGAAATTGCAGACAGCCCGGCTCAGGTACCGTTTCCACAAACTCTATTCTAGGTCAGGACAAAAGCCACTGGCTTTGGAGGAAGGGGGGCGGGGGTTGGGCTGTTTCACAGAAAACCTTGGAAGCTTGATGGGAGAAAAAGACTCCTTGGATGGAAACATCTCTTGATTTTCAGTAAGTTCTTGAGCCTCCAATATATTTACTATTCATTGAATTTCCTTTACCCAGAGTCTAACTTTTCTCCCATTTAAAAAACAAAAAAATGTTTCCTATGAATCTGACTTAATGGTAGCATGCTTTGTGTTTTTCAATAATTCTCATTAACAAGTGGGTGGGTTTTAATTGCTATGTGTACAATTACCTTGCTAGGCAGATGCGGTGTAAGGATTCAGAAGCTAAAGGGAGAAAGGCAGTGTATGGGGAATCAAGTTATTTGTCAAGGCTTGTATGCAGTTACCAGATTATGGCTGATATTCATGTTTTGAAATCTGGATGCATGTATATCACTAACGGGGCTTAGTTTTCTTCATTCAAAAATGCCAAGCTAGTTTAAAATATTCCAAACTTTCCCCCAAGTTTATTAACTATGGGAGTGGGTGGGGGGAGGGGAGAAGAGCCATCTCTGGAGTCTTAAAATTAAAATTAAAAAAAGAAGAAAACCCATGTCCCACAAGAGCACAGTCGGAGGGGGGTGGGGTAGCTAGACTCCCTGAACACCAACTTCCAAAATATGAAGATTAATTTTAAATCTTTTCAGCAATTCAGTGGACAGTTGGGGGAGGGGCACACACCATGTTTTTGCCTAAGAAACATCACCTATGAAAAAGAAGTAATTCTCCACTAGATTTTTAGATATGTCTTTATTTTAAAAATTGCCATGCTCAATTCTGATTATGTTTGTTAACAAGATTTAAGATTGGCAATGTGGGCAGGGTGGGGGATCTAAGGCAGCAGACTCTCACTTATGCATTAAGCTTGGGTCATTCAGTCCCTGTACTTCGGTTGCTTCAGAAAAGAGGGTAAAGGAAAAAGAAATAACTTCAAAGATAAATTGTGTGTGTGCTGTCGATAAAAGAGCAGGAGCCAAACACCAAATGAAAAAAAAAAAAAAAGGAAAAGAGTACCATGTTGTTCCGGAATGTAACGGATTAAGATTGTGTGACAAGTGGGAGATGTGGACTGTGAGACATTTATGAGCTGAGTGTGAGCTAGGAGCTATGCGCCTGACCCAGGGAGTATGAGGACCAAGGATAGGGTGTGTGTGTGTGCAGGGCAGGGTTGAGGTGAGGGAGAGTAAAGGCTTGTGTGAGTGTGGGAGATGTGTGTGTGTGTGTGTGTGTGAGTGTGTGTGTGTGTGTGTGTGTGTGTGTGTGTGTGTGTGTGTGTGTGTATGAGATGTGGATAGATTGATAAAGGATGGTGGCAGTCAGTTTACATAATTTTCATCTGGTAGTCTTAAAGTTTCCTTGAAATCAATTCTACTGCAGGCAGCAGCCTTGAGCTATAGAGCTGAATCAGAACAGCCATTACACTCCAATATCGCGCCTGTTTGCAAACTTCATTTAAAACTGGGGGAAAAAAGACCCAGGAATGGTTTTGTAAGAAAGGGGAAAAAAAAAGAAGAAGAAAAGAAAACCACAGTGAAGCTTTAAACTAGTTTGGATAAAACTCTAATCTTTTATTTGTAACCTTTTACAAGCTTTATTTCCCTATATGAAAAGCTCCTTTTATATGGGCATGGCAGACTTTTTCTTTGGATTTTTAATTAGAGCCCATCAATTGTAGCCATATTTAAGAATCAATATGAAGTAATCCTTCGAGATGGGATAAGGTTTTAATCGAAAATCTAATTTCCCACTCTTTGCAGATCATTTTAAGGAGCTAGTTGATTAAAAAGAGAGTTCAATATTTAAAAGACATAACACCCCAAACCTGGAAAAAATCATGTGTGCAAGAGACCACTGATGTTGCCTTACAAAGAAAAGCCCCGCTGCTGGTAGGAACTTCTTTCTTCTACTTAGAAGAATTTGGCTTTTTTTTTTTTCTTCTTTTCTTCAAATGCTAGTCTCAATGTGGCTCCTATCAGAGTTCTCATATTGAATGAGGGAGAGACTTATTTATTTGAAACAATATTCCATAAGCAAAAAATAACCTTTTTTTTTTAATCAACTAAGAACACATAGCTCTTGATAGGTCCTTTTCATTGCATATTCCCCAACTTGGAGATTAGTGACTGACACACACGTTTCATTTTTCAAGGATCCAAACTTTGTACCCTCACATCCATGGCGGCAGATGTCCAATACATGTTAAAACTTCAGGTTTAGAACTTTGCCACTTTTGATGCCTTACCACACTGGAGAATTTGCTTATTGCAAA